CAATTAAATTTCATGTCACTGAACTTTCATTGAAAATTCAATTAGGTTAATATATTTTAATTAATATCAATCAAGTCACGAAATTTCACCACTATATCAAGTTGTATCATCTATCGTCCCCCAACAGATAGTAATTACTTAGCTATCATCCATACTAACCCATCTTCTATATAATCGCTTCGTGAAACCTTAAAAAACGAAAACAATAATAATGGTTTTGTTTTAATCTTAGCACATTTATGACGTGACATAGTGTTATATCACACAGTGATTCTTTGGATTATACGTTGTGATATGATTGTTAATTAAGTATACGCTTAAGTTTTAAATTAGTCTACAATGCATTCATGTATTGTCATTTATTTTCTTAAAACAAAAACAAAACCACTTCTAAATCTAAATAAGATTAAAATTTGGAAAGATAATATTATTTTTGCCGAGTCACTCCTTTTAACGAAGTTTTTGAATCTAGATAGAGTCAATTTGATAGAATCTCTATCAGATTGGAAGTGAATTTTTTAAGCAAAATCTATGTTTGCTTATGTAGCATGATTTTTAAGTAATTCGTGGTTGCATTAAAAATGCTATTAGTAGAATGTCTAGCTGACGTGGTAAGAAAGAATTGACATTGTTAAGAGGGTTGTTTAAATGTAGAAACTCTACTTGACGTAGAACTTTCTATCTCTTGTTTTTTTTTTTATTTTTCTCTCCTATAGTCCTATTAAATAAAGGGAAATCTAAGGAGATGTTCCAAGCCTTTCACAAATGTGTAGTTAGGTCTCAAAACATTCTAATCTTAGTACTTGCATCACAAACCTTTTAATAAATGTATACCAGAATGTCAATTATATCTATTTTTTGTTTTACTTTTAAAAATATTATTCAATCCATATTAAAAAACACATTATAAAAGTTCAGTCTCGGAGAAGGATTATATATTTACAAAACATAAATTGTAACACGATTTTATGATGTCGATGTCACTGTCATCGTCACTGTCAGCATCATTATACAAAGTCCAACACTTTTAATAAACTGTGCTACTCATGTGATGTTGTCTCCATCGCCAATGTTATTACTCCCTCTATCATTTTTATATAGACCGATTTTCCTTAATTTCTTGTCTCAATTATATAGCCTCGTTTCTTTATCGAGAATAATTTGTTTCGTTCGAAATGTACCCTCGTCTAATTTGCCTAGTTATAACCAATTTTCTCCACTTATTCTTTTAGTATAATTTGTTTCAAAAGTTCAAATTATGGTTATCAATGAATCTGATAAAAATAATTTATGAATGTGAGAATTGAAAATTAAATAGTTCAATTTCTTTAATATTTCCAACAATAATTTACTATTAGTTGTTGATAATTAGATAATGGTAAATTAGAAAAGTTTTTGGTAAAAATTATTTTTTCAATAAAATTAAATAAGATTTTAATCTATGTGAAAAAAAAAAATCAATATATATATATATATGAGACGGATGGAGTATTTAGAGTATAACACATGTAACACATTGTATTACGTTACTGCCAACACAACCACATCATCAAACCACCATAACTGCATGCACCACCACCACTACCCCTATCTTGTCCCATTTTAAACTACGACACCAAATATCCATTGCCACATAAACTTAAACTTGACAAACTCCACAACACAACACATTTAAATGTGCCGCGTAATCAACGGTGTCAATGTCTGCATACACATAAATCGACATAAACCCAAAAACGAATCAAGCCCTTAAGCCACCATAAATCCAAAATTTTTGATCTCCATCGAATTCAGACCTAGGACTATTATTTATTGTAAAACTAGATCTTAAATTTGAGATATGGTTGATCGTGATGGATTGAATCAACATCGTACGGCATAATAAAACCAATGACGATGGCAACATTATGGGGGAATTGAGGTGAAAAAGGAGAAGGTGAAGTGATTTATTGGAGAGAAGCAATGGTCACGATGACAATAGTGGTGGTAGTGAATTGTGAGGATTAAGAGTGGTGATTTCATCAGGGTTAAAGTCATTAATTTTAAAATTCATAAACGTAGAACATTGATTATATTATTAAAACAAGTGAGTGGCCAAATTTCCACTAGTGTAATTTGTAATTCGATACGTGTTGACTTCCATAAATTAAAGCCCCAAAATGAGGTTTAATATTTTTTAGACCCACCAATAGAATGCCTGTGTTTTCAATACATCAAGACAGAGCTGCCCTACTAAACTTTTCTGTCATTCTATGTTAGAAGTACTCAGGTTGATCTCATTAAGATAAGTGAAAATTACATGAACGAAGTGTTTTCAAAATCTCAATTCATGATTAAGAATTACAAGTTTTTCTTTCAAAAATCATTAAAATTATCAATATTAATAATATTATAAAAATTATTTTACATATCCACCCCACTACCATTTACCCACCCAAACCCTAATTATTTCACTCACTCTCGAGCCGGCTTCCTTTATCTCTCTCNTAATATTATAAAAATTATTTTACATATCCACCCCACTACCATTAACCCACCCAAACCCTAATTATTTCTCTCACTCTCGAGCCGGCGTCCTTTATCTCTCTCTCTCTCTCTCTCTCTCTCTCTCTCAATTCTCTTTGAATAATTCCTCGAGTACAAATTATTTTTTCCAGATTTTATACAAAAATTCAAAAATTGTCTCACATGATGGTGGCCTCACATGATTAAAATAATGACAAAAACCCCACCACACCCACCTATGGTGTGAGTTGTCTGGCAAGTACAGGGATTTAAATCCCTATACTTGTAGCTTGATTCATTCTCTTTACCTTCCACCACCGTTGACGAGGCACTCTTTCTCCACCCCCGCCCCCCTCTCGATGTTGCTAGTGACGAAGGTTGTAGAGATATATTGCAATGGTGATTTTTCTCATATATATGTGCAATTTGTTGTAGAGATTATCTTCCATAATCTGTTGCAGAGATTTGTTCAGATGGTGCAACGCAGTGATGTCGTGGTTGCTGTAGTGGGTTCAGATGGTGTGTGGTGGTGTTGAGGTTGATGTGATGGTGATGTTAGCAATCTGGTGTGGCGGTGGTGTTGTGGTGGGTTCAGATGATGTGTGGTGATGTTGTAGTTGCTATGATGGTTACGTTGGCAATTTGGTGTGGTGGCGATGATGTTGGTGGTGATAGTGGCGATGGTCACGGGTGGGGTGGGGTGACCAAGTATTTGATTGATTGATACTAGAGGTGGGCGTGGATTGGGTTATTTCGATTTTTTACCCAACCCAACATAATTAATTTGATCTAAAATCAACCCAACATTTATGAGCTTCAATCCAACCCAACCCAATCAAGCTTCGATCGGGTGGGATCGATCGGTTTAGATTTTAGACAAAAAAATTTGTTGGACGATAAAAACCATTAAGAAAATTGTTTCAAAGCGATCATCCAAATATCTATTCAAGACTACAAATACCCAAGAGACCACAAATATTTCAAACCAATTGGAAAACAAGAATAAAAAAAAACACAATCCATTTCCAGTAATTGACAAAGTAACCAAATCAACTTCGAGATACAAATGTATGGCCTAATCTTTGAAATAATATTCACCCCAAAGTAATGCAAATGATACTAGTTGCAAAAATGCAGTAGCAATGGAAGGGAGTGCTTGTACAACAAATGAAATAAACGTCAAATTAAACTAGTTGCAACTCCATTTCACCCGAAACTAACAAGGGAAATTATTCTCAAGCAAACAATTGTATCTTCAAATTATCCAAACATTATAATATGATAAAAATTGGAAGTAATCTTATGAAAATTAAACTATCCAACATTCAACATTCTGTGAAGGACTTTAATATAATGAAATCA